AAATCTTGCTAACCCCATACTTTTGAATGGTGCTGTACACTATTTTGCATAGTTTGTTTATTACTTTTTAAAAAGAGAGTACTTTTTGCATTGATGCTTCATCAGGACATCATCCTTATTCTGATCAAGGTCTTAATTTGTTAACATAAAAAATATCTACTGAAATTGCAGCGGAAAATGGCATTTAGAATTTTACAACAATTTCTCAACACATTTTTATATAAATGTTTTGCTTATCTTTAAACACTTTTTTGAAACAAGCTTAGAACTGAATTTAAGACTTCAATCAGCCCTGTTTACATATGACTGAATGTGGAGTCTCATTATCGTTTATAGTTGGCCTTTTCTGGCTTTATTAATGTGCTCGTAAACCACATCTTATGACTTGGCAGAAGGTCTAAAAGTTTATTGCACGGGGTTCAGCTGTTTCTGCAGATAAGTGCTTCAGGCTCGCAATCATACAGATGATGTTGTGATTGTGGCGCTCAGGATGTGGGTTGGTGGTGGAGTTTTTGTGTCAACTGCATCATGATGTAGCCTGAAACGCACAGTTTATGTTCCGTTTATCTATATAAATGGTGTATTATGATTGAAAGGACAGTCAGACTGCTCAGAGTTTGTAAACATGCAGGCTATAAAGGCAAGACCATTACCAGCACTGATGTCAAACACTGTCACAGTCTGTTCTGATAGTCATGGACAGCCAGGACAAAATGTTAAGATCATTCAATTGTACTTTAAGGCCTGTTCACACCAAGGACGATAACTATAAAGATAACGATAAAGTAGGGCTGTGCAAAAAATTGAATTCGATTGACAAGCTACAGAAAATCGCGTTCAAAATCGCAGGCGATTCCAGGCTCGCAATCATACAGATGATGTTGTGATTGTGGCGCTCAGGATGTGGGTTGGTGGTGGAGTTTTTGTGTCAACTGCATCATGATGTAGCCTGAAACGCACAGTTTATGTTCCGTTTATCTATATAAATGGTGTATTATGATTGAAAGGACAGTCAGACTGCTCAGAGTTTGTAAACATGCAGGCTATAAAGGCAAGACCATTACCAGCACTGATGTCAAACACTGTCACAGTCTGTTCTGATAGTCCTGGACAGCCAGGACAAAATGTTAAGATCATTCAATTGTACTTTAAGGCCTGTTCACACCAAGGACGATAACTATAAAGATAACGATAAAGTAGGGCTGTGCAAAAAATGTAATTCGATTGACAAGCTACAGAAAATCGCGTTTAAAATCGCAGGCGATTCATTGCCGATTTTGAACGCGATTTTATGTAGCTTGTCAGTGAACTACGGCTCTGTGTAGTAAATGCCACTCCATCTGAATGCACGTGCTGGAGATTTACTACTAATCACAGGAGCGGCTTTACTGACGAGATGCGCATATGAAAATCGCATTCGATTTTTTTTTGCACAGCCCTAAGATAAAGATATAGTTCTAAAAATCGTTCTCAATATTAAAGAATGGCAGAGTCCACACCACAGCTATAACGATAAAGGCACAGAGAAAAGACATCGTTGGAATCACTTTCAGAACGATTTTTTCCAGCTGATGAACGATAAAAACATTGACAGCCAATCAGAATCCATCCTGCTGTAACAAGCTCAAGAATTTAAAGCGGCAGAGAGTGTGCGCTTAGAATAAACAGACTATATCGTCTGCTGGTGTGGACGCTAATATCGTTATCTTTATAGTTATCATTCTTGGTGTGAATGGGCCTTTAGGATAGGAAAATACATACTTGGACTTATCAACCTTTAAAAGGGAGGAAAGAAATGGTTTGCATATCTTTTGTTGTTTTTGACATTATAGGCCAGATGTCTATACTTGGTATTTTGCCATTAATTAATCCGATATCCATATTAGGCATATATAGAGGACCACACAATATACATTACCGTTTAAAGTACGACTTCTTCCAGACCACGTCGGTGATCGGAGGCCTTCTGCTGGTAGTAGCACTAGGTCCAGGCGGAGTGTCCATGGATGAGAAGAAGAAAGAGTGGTGAGACAGGACTGAACTCAAACGGCTCACTCGCTCACTCAGTAGTTTGCCCTTTGGCAGCAGCTTTCACAGAAAGCAGGTACACTACTTGGGGAGAAAAGAGCCAATTGAGACGTGGCCTCACAAACACCCCAGGACCAACAGAACGACCCGTTCTCCACATCTCATGCACTGTCTGTGTTTTCATCT